AAACTTAAATCCAACCTCATTAGTTTTTACTTTATCGCTTTATGATTACTTCGCCCGCAAGGTTCTTCTTATAATTATATAAACTCCCACAGTCTTCACAAATTTTATCTCTTATTGCCACCCATAGACATATATTTCAAGCTTCATCTTGGTGGTTCTCGTTCCCACGAGCCTTGCGACGATTGTGCGGGCCCTTCCTGCCCCACAAGGATCCCAATTAATGATAATGAAATTGTTTGACTGTATGTTACAAAATTTTTTACGATAGTTGTTTGTATGACGAAAACAGAATTTAAGTGGATTCGATTTTAGGGTAGAATTTATCATATGCAAATCTATAATCTAACCCTATTTTACTAAGAAATTCTGAATCTACATAATGATTTCTCTTGCAAATATATATGAACATTATTACTTTCGTTAAAATCCAACTACAGTTAACTCTTTATAAGAGACTGGTTGTCCTTATTGTAAAAGGGTTTCAGAAGTCCGTTATATAGTAATTTACAAGGTTAGTGCTTTTTTATCCACTCTAGCTATTCCTTTATTGTTTCACTATAAAAATTAAATGTTTATTACGGTACAGGAATCCTTAAATCAGCACGTCAAATAGATAATTTTTAAATTGTTATAAAAAACAACTAGTATATCTAGAACAATTTTTTTTTATATAAAATGTAGAAAAAGTATTAAAGAATAAAGTTATAAATCTGTTTTTTAATTTATTAAGTAGTAAATCGTTTCTGAAGGGTACAAAAAATGATAAATCTTATAATAAACAAAGTCGGAAATTCATTTTTCTATAGTATAGGAATGGGGCTTGTTTATATATTAAAGTATTTTTTTATTAAGTAACCTTTATAATAAAAGTTGTAGAGCTAATTTTTCTGATTCTAACGGTGGTAAAATCATCAAAATCGGTTGGATAGATCATGAGATATGAGTGTTTTTCAATAGGGTTTTTTCTTAAGAAACGCATTCCACTTACTACTGTATAAGGGGAACGTCTAAAGCGGGGCAACTCATATTTCATAATAATTTTTTCAATTAACTTTAGGGTTAGAGTTATCTTATATTAAGGTTAGGTTAGGTTTTAGGTTGTTATATATAAGCAAAATTGCCTTCCCGACATTTTTACTTAACCTACCTGAGGTAGGTTTAGACTGCCGTTTTTTGGGTTTTTCGTTTTTGTTTCTTGCTTTGCTTCGTCGACGATCATCAAAATTCTATAATTTGTTTGGCTGTGATCTAGGGATGGGCAATGTAATTTTTTATGTAACCGATATGTATTTTTTAATCCTTACATATTTTGTAAATTATTACATATTATTACATAATTTTTAAGAGAAATCGATCACCGAATAAAATCATTAAGTTTAAATCTGTTCTTGAAAATTTTGAAAATTTAATTAACGTTAGCGGTAATTAAATTTAAATAAATTTATGATATAATAATACATAAGAATACATAATATTATGTAAAAAAATTTGCCCATCCCTACTGTGACCACGTGAAATTGCCCCGCTTTAGACGACCCCTATATAAGGTAACTAAAATGCCCGCCGACCTTTACTATGAAATTTGTTCCCTTTAACTACGGACTGTCAATTAAGTTTTAGTACTTTTATAAAGGCTTAAATTAACTATTTGAATAAAATTAAAAATTTGGCCACAATTATACGTATAAAAAATTTCGCAGGCCAATCAAATTTCAATATCAGGCACGATCAAGAAAAATTCAAAACAAACGAAATTTATTCTATGCAAACTCCTTTGCAAAAATTTTTGTTTTTTCTGCAAAATTTTTTTGCTTTTTTCTGGGGGGTCTTGGCCCTC